TTTACCAACATATTTTGGCCTCCTCATGTGGAATCCTCCACTGCGCCGTTTTTCTCCACATACACTTACACTTCGGTCCAAAGCCAGATCTGGTCCTCCTTTCACTGCCGTTGGTGGTCCTCACGACGTAAAGTAACCCCCTGTTGGCGTTCGCTTGCTGAGGCCGGTGTGGAACGGGTCTGTGTAGGCGATTGTGCCAAAGCCGGTTTTTTCCCAAACCGGATCGCCAGCCCGTGAGTACTCATCCATTTGCTTCTGCACCTTCTTCATCTGCACACGATCAGACTCAACCTGCTCCTGAAGCTGTTTGATCTGCAGCTCGCTCCTTTCGATCCGCTGCTTCAGCGTCAGGTGCTCCTTTGAGAGCGCGATCGCCTTCAGCTTGCCCTCAAGCTCAGGGCTGGGCCGTGCGACCTGTGGCGACGTCGCCCCCCCCATCGACTGGAGCGTTGCGCGCAGCTGCTCATTCTTCTGCAGCTCCTCTGCCACCAGGCCGCTCACCTCGGCCGGGGCCGCGACCATGAGTGTCGGTCCGCGTCGGCCTGTCAGTGAGCGAGTAACCGATGTGCTTACTGAGTACTCGAGAAGCGCGTTTTCTCTTTTGAAAGGACAGGTATGTTGTTGGCAAGTCAAGACACAGAGCTCACACAGAATCACAGCGGGAGGAAAGCGGCGAGTCGCAATTCCAGGGGTCGTTGTGGCGGGCCATCCTGTCCAGAGAGGCATGGATGCCAGCCAATCTGGGGTCTTTCGACCGAGTCTATGAGTGAGCCCTGGCCGCCTCCCGATCTTGGCCGAACAGGGCGACGGAGATGGCGCGGGAGAGTACGGGTGTTCCAGGGGATCATGACACGCACCGACCCTTCACAAGCCGAAAGGCTGTGCCCGGGGACACAGTAATTCGGCACGTGTTGGGCGCCCCATTCCGTTTGGCGGCTAGGTCGGCTCAAGGCCCCGTCCACTTCCCTCCCACTTGGCGCGTGATGATGAGGAGATGCCCCCCAGGCCAGCCAGGGCAGGCGGCAGGGGCGGAGGGCGAGGGCGGAGGGCGGGATGGGCGCCAAGCGGGAGGGAGCGGACGGAGTGGAACGCAAAGAAGGGGGACGATGGATGGCGAAGGCGGAGGGGCGGGAAGGGGGATCTTTCGAAATGCATGTAAAAGAAGGAGAACGGATTCTGGAGGCACTGGAACGGGAGGTCGTCAGTACTGCTACGCATATGTAATCGCCCAGAATGCACAGATCGGCCATGTTATGTAAATACGCGCCCGCGATCCATAGTGCGTCGGCCAGACGTCGCGTATTTCGGTGTCGTGCCCGAGCCAAGTGGCGCCTGAGGGAGCTACAAATGTCTTGCGTATTACGAATCTGTCTTCTGCATCCACCTTCGGCCGATCGGGGTGTGCCTCTCAAGGCGCGCTACGCCCCACGTACTACGCACACGCATTCCGGATTCGAGTGAGAAGTGGTGGCCGACGGGGGTTACGCCTCACGCATTACGCATACGCTTGATGCATTCGCACGCCCAAGGTGTCGGAGAGGGCCTACGCACCACGTACTACGCACACGCATTCCGGATTCGAGTGAGAAGTGGCGGCCGGCGGGGGTTACGCCTCACGCATTACGCATACGCTTGATGCATTCGCACGCCCAAGGTGTCGGAGAGGGCCTACGCACCACGTACTACGCACACGCATTCCGGATTCGAGTGAGAAGTGGCGGCCGACGGGGGTTACGCCTCACGCATTACGCATACGCTTGATGCATTCGCACGCCCAAGGTGTCGGAGAGGGCCTACGCACCACGTACTACGCACACGCATTCCGGATTCGAGTGAGAAGTGGTGGCCGACGGGGGTTACGCCTCACGTATTACGCATACGTTTTACGCATTCGCACGCCCAAGGTGTCGGAGAGGGCCTACGCACCACGTACTACGCACACGCATTCCGGATTCGAGTGAGAAGTGGTGGCTGACGGGGGTTACGCCTCACGTATTACGCATACGTTTTACGCATTCGCACGCCCAAGCTGTCGGAGAGGGCCTACGCACCACGTACTACGCACACGCATTCCG